CTCTGCTCTGCACATGATCACCCCTTGTGTGACCCTTAGATGGAGTCCAGAAGATCCAAGATCCCAGGACAAGCAAAGAGAATCCCCAGGCTAACTCAAGGAGTCTCGCCCAGAACTGACTCAGCCACCAGCCCCAGCCAAAGCGCCTCCAGTTTCCCAGTAGCCCATAAAGCCAGAAGAGACTATACATCTGAAGGCTGCAGCATAGCACCCCAAGGAAAGCGCACCCTGCTATGACTCGCTTTCCGCGCCTCTCGGGCCTCTGTGAAGGAGCCCACTGTGGTAAAGAGGACCTGAGAAAGGGTTGCAGATTGGAAAGGGCCTTTGTGAGGATCCCCAAGCAAAATGGGAGGCCCCAGCAGAGGGAAAGGGTCTGTAGCAAAAGAGGGACAGCAGGGGTTAAAGTTAAAGAGTATAGATCGGCTACAAATAATGCAGAGCAATGAAATATACCAAACCCTCCAACCACCCATGGGTGCTGCAGCTTTAGTGGGAAAAGTAATAAATTTAACCCTTTCAGTGTAACCAGAGCGAGAGCAAGCTGCACCCACAGAAGAAGCTGCAGAGGAACATTATGTAGCGCTGCCAGAGTGGCATGAGACAGAATCTGACGGGTACCATAGGGGTCAAGTATGAGGAGGATGGTACGCAAAGAACCACCCATGATTAGGAAGCTATTTGCCAGGATCAGGGTGTAACAGAGGGGCCGAGGAAGCGTACATGCTCCAGCCGTCCCCACAACTGCCAGGCAAGCCATCAGCAAGAAAAGGCTGGCAGACCCAAAGACGTGCAATTCCCAGGCAAACGCCAGTGTGCGCCTCATGTCGTCCCAGAGCAGACTGGTGCCATTAAAGTTTTTAAGAACAATACACGGCCCAACACCCAGCACGCAGGGGCCTCCAGGTTCTGAAGGTTTATAATTTATCATGGAAGTAAACGCACTGGTATGGAAAGGAAGTTTAGGGCGGTCTCCACCTGAAAGAAAGAGAAGATTTTATATTTTTAATTAAAAATAATTTCATGGTGAATTTTTACATACTGTACTGTTAGCCCGATTACCAGCATAGTTGCACAGCATGCAGTGTCACAGACAGCTACATCGAACCAAAAGATCCAATATCAATCACTTTTACTTTATTTGCTTTTTAAATAGATTTAAATTTGATTTTTCATACAAAAATGTGAAAAGAAGGATATAATTTTATACTAGATCTCACTGTGACCACCTGACAATTTGATGCAGTTAAAGAAAAACGTCAAGTAATGCACTATGTGCGCTACTTCACTTCCATATCACAGCTTTACTTACGAGTTGGGAAGTTGTGTTTCACAGCAGAGGTATGACTCTCTTGTAAGCGCTCTGCTGTTATGTGGCCGCCTTCCAGCAGAGCTCCCTCTGAGATTACGGGTGCACTGGGGTGAGTGTTTCCTGTAATTGAAGTATTAGCTTTGTCAGCTCTTTGGTCCAGAGGCCCTGAGTGGTGCAGGCTGGGTTCTGTCCCCACTATGATTCCAGACCCAGAGTGGGTTTCTTTGCTCAATGGAGTGACAGCCTGATTGATGAGTTGCTGCAACTCCATGCTGCCAACACTATACCGGCTGCCTTCTACAGGGCTTTCTGATTGAAAGATTACTTCCCTGGCCAAGCTGTCCAGGCTGCTGTTGTTTCTGGCTCCACTTTGAGTTGTTTGGACTGAGCCAGAGTTGGATGGTGAATGCGAAGACTGAATAAGGCTTCCAAGTGAAGAGAGGGACACGGTTAGTGTCACAAAGAGCAGACGCCCCATTTTTGACAGCCAAGATCTGTAGAGAAGACAGAGCGAAAGGACTGAAACACGTTTCCATGCATTCAGGTTCCTAATGTCCCTAGCACTAAAATTAACAGTCTAAAAATATGCTTTACAGTTTTTCTGAAGCTAACGCAAAACTTCAGCCAACCAAGATAATAAAAAGCCTCTTTTAATAAAAAGTTCCTCTTTTGTTGCCACACTTTCACGGCAACTAAATAATCAAAAACTGCTTTGGTAAACACAAACATATGTACTAAAAATATTTATTGATGTCAAGATGGCTAAAACTTGATTTTACCTTGAAATAAACACTGAAACACTTTCTTCACAGCCATAATGGGGAGGTAAATGATTATTAAATATATTTAGATTCACACAGACGAACTTTTATGTTTCAGTTCTAAATGACAATATTTTCTACGTGTAATCTGGAGGATGTGCACCCTCTACAATAAATGCACATTTGAATCAGCAAAATTACAACACAACTTTGGAAAAACTGTTCACAATATGAGTCAGTCGGACCAAAAATATAAAGTAGCCATTTCAGTAATAAATCAGGCAGTGTAAACAATAGGTATCTAAATGCAATTAGAAAGACTAGAAAATGCTGTGAATCCAGAAAAACTCTGAAAAACTGAAATATTTTACCCCTTCATAGTTCAGTTATGATTCAGGCAAACACAAGTATAAAACACACATGACAACACATCATTCAGCTGTCAAATCAGTCTAACTCATTGACTTACCTGCGATCAAGTCTTATTTTCTGCTTTCTTTTTAGTGCATCACGGGTTGTGCTGCATCTCTGGTAAAAGTATGTGTAAAGCCTGATTTCTGAGGTGATACACAAGGTGCATCACAGTGAGCCTTGAACATACTGACTGGCGCGCTCACAACTAACTAACGGCTTATTGCACCTGCTGGTTACTTGGCAACTTTCCATCACTATGTCGCTAGTAAAACAAAGACCTGATTACCATGGCCCATTTCTGGAGAAAAAAAGTTGAATAAATAATTCCTGTTTATTGTTTGCAGTGTTCATAAATGAAGGATTTTAAAATGAAAATCAAAGTTGTAAATGACCGACTGTTAATAACAACCTACAAGCCTTCTGTTTTGTTTTAATGGCAGCTGTTTAAAGGTAAATCCTTCTCAAAAGGATTACATTAAGATTCTTACAGTGGCATAAAGTCACCTGCAGTGATAAGCCAGTAAGTCACGAGCCAAGTAAGCTGTTTCATGCCAACTTACTAGCTTATTATTTTTCCAGAGTGTGCATGTGAAAGACTTACGCTTTATGATCAAATTAGGAGAGTGTTAGTCACCACTCAGATGAATCCTGTGGTCTTTTCTCTATCAATAATGGATCAGCTTTCTTTCCTCTTAACGTCCACCATGGTGATAGTGTTCGGGCTAGATTTTGCTAAACAGGCAGATTTTCAGAAACTAGAAGATGTTACATTTCAAATGAAGATTCACCGCATTATGACTTTCGTTTTTTCCATGAACCCTCTTAGTTCCAAGTCATCTTTGCTGACAGCCCCAATTTAGCCTCAAACCATAAACGTAACCCTGTATTTTGGAGAAAAGCCAGTATATATTATACTGGAAAAAATAGTTCTGTTGCATATGTTAAAATAATTTTGTCCCCTTACTGCAAAGAATTTGGACATTTTCTTTTTAAATTACATCTTCTAGGATCATTGCTTGTGATGAGAGACCTCAAGGGGTTAATTATAATAGACTCAGAATTTGGGTGTTTTAAAGTCTATAAACAGGGGTGGACATTTAACAAGAACCTATCCTTAACCCTAGATGTGTTGCCAACACCCTGGAAGATGTTAAGCAGTTAAAGAAAAATGTACACATACTACATAAACGCTGCCATAAGAGAGCCCTTGTAGAGTCAGAGATAGTCTGCAGCGAGTGTGGGAATTAACTCTTTCCAATCCAGTGTGTAGAGGACACAGCCTATGCACACAGCGCATCTGTCTAGGTCCACCTTAAGAAGGGCAAGAGGCAGTTTGTTGTGGAGGGAACAGGGGGAGGCCCTCAGTAGCACATGCCTGGCTCTTTAAGGCAGACTGGGGAAGTTAGAACAAGTTAAAGGCACATGCATTCATGTTTACCAAGCTTCAGGAGAACCATCCTGGAAGAAAATGTTTGTGTTCATTTAAAGTCACGTATCTTGATTTCCAGAGTCAGAGGAAATAAATTAAACAGTTAATAATAAAATAAAATGATTAATAATCAAAAACAGAGACATCGTAACATAAAAACAGTTTGACCGAAAATAATAATTTAAGTAAGGAATCCCTACTAAAATATTTTAAAATAAAAATAAATAACCAAGGCCAATTAACCACATAATGTGGCCAATATCTATCTAATTTAAAACTATACAGATCCTACTTTTCTGTAATATTAGAACAGATATCTAATAGTATGACAATGATCAGTCATTATTTTGTCTGATTTTTAAATTAATCCTCAATGAAAGGAGTGGTATTGTAAAAGGCTGTCTATTTATTGCGATCATTCAAACTGGGTATCTGTGTATATAGGTTCTATCATTTCAATGCAAATGACCCTGTTTTAATCTGAGAGACTGTGATTATCTTGCACTGCCAGATTACGGTTGACCCACCGTTACAGATGAGACATGCCCTACCTTTAACTACACAAATGTGGTTGCACTTCTCGTCCAAATGTCATGTAAGTTTTCATAACAGTGCTGCTCTTGCTACCGGGATGGGAGCTGCAGTTATCAGCCCGTTGGTTGGCAGAGCAGTGTGGAGAGCAGCCGCGTTGTTTTCGGGGCCTATACTTCCGTCATTTTATGTCTCACTTGGTAAACAGTGTGTGGGGTTTTGTGCGTGTGTCGCTGAGTGGTGTTTTTTTGGACATACGACGTGGGATTTCGCCGCATAACTAAACCTGCGCTTTGCTGGAAGTGGTAAACTTTTAACACAACCCGGAGCTCAGCGTGAAATAAGCAGACGTCAGAGAATCGGCCAATGGTTAAATTTTATCTCCGTGTAATCACGGCATTGTTTTGCGGTATTGCACAGCTGCTAAAATGTGCTATGTAGCCAAGTAAATGGTATGCTGGTGGTAGCTGTTAGACGTTTATCGGCTTTTTGGTTTTAAACACCGTGCCTTGGCGGAAACAAGAGGATTTCATTTTATTTAAGGTAGCATGACAGGATCCAGAGCAGCCGAGCTAGCTCGCTAGCTAACGTTAGCACAGTGGTTAGCCAGCGAGGTGTTGCTGTGTTAAATACAGTTCGATAGCCTCTATTATGAGTAAAACTATAGCCGTGTTGTATAAGTTACGGCATAAATTATATTGGTATTCAACAGTGTAGAATGCAGTCGGCGGTTGCTACTCAGTGAACTATCCATATGGGTTGTGGCAAAACAGCGCCTAGCTAACATTGTTAAGCTAGCATGCTAACAACTAGCTGTCACATAAACTGTCAATATAATGAAACCAGGCACCATTGTTGGTGCGTTGCTTCATTACTTCATTGCTATTAAACCCAGTTAATCGCTCATAGTAAACATTTAGGTTTACCTTTCAGCTAATCTGTGATTGCAGTGTTTCTTAATTGTAGGAAAAGTTGATTTAAGCAAAGCACAGTCATTGTATTAGCTCCAAGCCAAATGCATTTAACATAGCAACCCTAACGTTCCCAACCTTACTGACAAACATTTAAACTGCATCATTGTAGTTGTATGTAAGAGAGAAAAGCTGTCTCTCATCATTTTACATGAACATTGCAAATGCAGCTTGTTTAGGATGTAATGGATGTAACTGTGCTCTTAGAAGTGTAAAAGAAAAATCTCCTTTCCAGGTCCAGTGACGATGAACGAGCAGGAGAGTGGGGTGGTCTCCTTTGACGAATATGTGCGGCAAAAGGCCCGCACTGTGCCTCAGCACAGGATGAAGGAGTTCCTGGAGTCTCTTGCCAAGGGCCCAGAGGTGCTGCAGGAGTTCAGCCAGCAGGAAGGGGCAGCCACCAGTACAGCCATGGTGTACCATCAGCAGGGTGCCAACTGTGTTTACACAGACAGCACGGAGGTGGCAGGATCTCTCCTGGAGCTGGCCTGTCCAGTAAGACACTTTATATTGGGTGTTGAATTATGTTGTTTGGTGGTTTGCAATTACATGTAAATGTTTTATAACAGGTACAGGTGACCTCAACAGAGATGTCACCCCAGCTGCATCAAGGATCTGAACAGCAGCTTCAAGTGCAGGTTAGTTTCTTCTTGTTTCAGCTGCTCTTGTTATTGGTCGGATCATCTGCCTCCATCTCACCCTATCTCACCCTATCCTCCTCTTTCACACAAACTCTCAAAGTTTGCATCCACACTGCTCAACCTGACCTGGCCCAATGATGTATTCATTTCTAATCATATCCATCCTGGTCACTCCAAAAACAAATCTGAGCAACTTCAGCTCTGTGACCTGCAGTCCCGCCTTGTCTTACTGTCAGTGCCACTGTCTCCAAACCGTAGATCAGAGCAGGTCTCACTACCGTCTTTTAAATTCTTGTTGCTATCCTTCTGTCACAAATCACCCTGCCACTTGTCTCCATCCACTCAACCCTGCCTGCACTCTCTTCTTCACCTCTGTTGTGCACTGTTTGTTACTTTGCATGGTTGATCCTAGAAATTTAAACTAATCGAACATGATGTCATTTGCAAACGTAGTCCACAGAGACTCTTCCTGCCTAACCTCATACAAAAACATAGTGTGTTTAAATTTTATATAGCCGATTGTCCTCTCAGTCTCAGCACACCACAATTACTCACTAGTGTTTGTGTCATTACATAGAGACCAGAATATGTTACAAATTATTAGTTACTGTTTTAAAAAGCAGTGCGTTATTTTTGCATTACTCCATAGCATAGCCTGATACACTGTCACACATATGAGAATGCATCTATGTTGACATTAAAAACCTGAGGCTACTAAGGATGTACCAGTCCAGCTTTTTCCCTTTCTGATCTGACACCACTGCTTTGACTGTGAGTCTCTGCTGATGTACTGATTTGATCTCAGTGTTGGATTAGAAAGCTGTATTTCTCACTGTGAGGAAGAGACTGAAATAAGGGTGGGTAATTATAGATTCAAAATTTATATCATGATATTTCATCAGAAAATTTGTGCTAATTTTGGTGATATAGAAAAAAAAATACAAAAATTTTAAACACTTGCAGACAGCAGCTTTTTTTGTAAGTGTAAGTACATGAAGTGCACTCTCTTACTGAAATGAAATTTGAAATGTGAATCTGTCAAAACAAGATGGCAACAGCATTACATACAGTGACACAGCATACGTCAAATGTAATCACAAAAGTAGCCGAGGTAGTGTTTCCATGTAAGTCTGTATAAACATATAAAATAACTGCTTAACATTTGAGTTTATCAATAACTAAAGTAGCTTAACCTCAAACACCTGCGCAGTATTGTCATATAATTAACCTGAAAACGTTTTTTTTTATTTTTTTACCCAGGATGTTTTATGTTGTTTTTTTTGTTTTTTTTCTTGGGTTGAGCTGTTTAAACACCTGCAGGTGATTGATTTGGTAATTTCTACCCACCATTGGCTCTTCCTGTCGTAGTAATGCTTAGTTTGAGGCATTTGTTTACTTTTGGGTTACATGTCAGGAGCTGCGAGGCTCTCCTCAAAGTTTCTCCACCTTTTGCAGGAGTGGTTTTCTGGAATATTTGAAAGGTAGCTCCCTTTTTACTACCGTAAATCTATCAGAGGCTGACATGTTGCTGTTCCTCTCAGACATGCCTGGGTTTTTCTCCTAGTCCTACATTTGAAAATGTAAATGTGAGACATTGCTGTAGCCAAACCATCAAAATATGACACTCTTATAGCACATAAAATGTGTACTGGTGTTGTCTTTATCAGCTATAGATGTGAATCATTTGTATGAAATGAGGTCATACTCCACTTAAGTTTTCACAAGTTTTGAAAAGGGTTAGGGTTAAAAACAGGCTATAAATTTACAGAATTTATGGTATTTATTATTGAAAAAGGGAGGATATAGAAATATATTCTTGTTCATTTAATCTATTTGCACTGGACTGGAGTCATTAGGCTGCAAACTGGTGTCATTTACAGGCGTTGTACTTTCTTCATCAAGAATGAGACAGCTGGAGTGAAATTAACTTTAACTGACTTGATCACATTTTAAATTATAATTATATCATAAGTTTAGTAAACACTCCTAAAAAGTGTTACACAAAACTTTCCATCTTGCATGACTGGACAGAGCATAATGAGAGTGAAAGTAAACAGGAGGAAAGTTTCCAGTTAAATAAATGCTTCTGCAGATGTACAGATAGAAGTTGTTGGTGTAGCAGCATGAAATGACCCCAAACCTCCCTCCATGCTGTGTTAGCTGTGGCGCTAACTGCTGCTGTTATCTGGTAAACAGAAAACATTGTAGAACTCAAAGGAATGGATCCCATACTGACCCAAAAAGTTGGATCGAGTATTGGACTGATATCCAATCCAAATATCAAAGCAGTGCCTTCTGAGAGGCTACAGTCAGGCTCACTGGAAGGAATCCCTTTCCTACTGAATACAAACAGAAGATCTTTCACTTAGTATTTAAGTATGCATACAGAGCCAACAGGAAATGTGAAAACCACGCAAAGGAGCACTTTACAGAAAAATGTTGTGGTCACAATGATTCTTCAGTAGGAAAAGGTGCAGGTGGAAATGGAGGATACATTTCTGACTGGTTATACTGATTTGTACCATCACATTGTAGTCCTTCTGTGCAATAAAAATTAAAGCAATGTAAATGTTTTTAATGTAATTGGAAAGAGGGTGTTTGCTTTTTGTTTGCCTGTTGTGCAGATAATTAAAGACCTTGTAGCACAATCAATGAAATATCTGTTTGATTAGTAGCAGAAGTTAGTTCTATGAAGTATCACAAGCCAAAAAAAAGATCAACTTTCTCTCAGGATTATGGTTGCTGTTTCATGCTTGTTCAATTCACATTAATGTAATTAAAACAGGATCGGTCACCTCAGACATGGGTGTATCTTACTGAGACTTCAAATGTATAAACTTGAGACGCCTTATGACTTTGATGACTGTTGTGTTGTTCATAGCAGAAATGTCAAAGAAAAGTATTTCAGTGTGTTTATGATTCATAAGGTTGCTTACAAGTCTGTTTGTTTTTCTTACTCTCCCTCTGTGCCAGGTTCAGATCCAAGAACAGCAGGGCCAAACAGTTGGTCAGGTTCTTCAGGTGGCCCACCCCTCTCAGCAGGACATACAGGGAATCTCAACAGCCCAGCTTGTGCAGGCAGGAGAGCTCACAGAGGAGCAGCAACAGCAGGTAGAGGATTAACTTCAGTTACGGCTATCAGGTTTTTCCATGTTTCCCCATTTAAACAAACAAACAAAAAAAACATGTTTACTGTGTTTCACAGATTCAGGCTCAGTTGGTTGCCGCCGTAGCTGGAGGACAACAAATCCAACTGTCAAGTGGCCAACAAATCCAGTTGCAGGGAATGCAGCATATTCAGTTGCCTGGGGGACAGCAAATTCAACTTCAGGCCGGCCAGCAGATTCAGTTACAGGGTGGGCAACAAATCCAGATCCAGACCATTGAGACCATGACTCCTGCTCAGCAACAGGACTCTACCAGGGAGGCAGAGCGGAGGCCCAGCACTATCCCCACTGTTCTCCAACCAGCCAAGAAGCGTAAGATGGATGTCCCCCTAGCTGTTTCGTATGCTGTTCCACAGGGGCAGCAGGTGGCTACAGTTTTAGCCATCCCTCAAGGCCAGCAGCAAAGTTATGTGTCCCTACGACCGGATTTGCTCACAGTTGACAGTGCTCAGCTGTACAGCACTACAGGAACAATCACAGGTCCCCAAGGTGAGACCTGGACCATCCCTGTGTACTCCACTCCACAGCAGCAGGGTGTAACTCACATTGCTATACCACAGGAGACGTATAGCACAGTGCAAGTAACTACCGCCAACGGCAAGGACAAAATGTCCCCAAATTCCACATCGAGGTCTGCCGACGTGCATTCGGCCACCACTGCAACGCAGGAAGAGATCGTGCAGACCCTCTTCCCAGCACAGTTCATGAACGGCAACATTCATATCCCCGTGGCAGTGCAGACCGTAGGAGGGACATACAACACTACACAGTCAGTGCAAATATGGGACCCAAATCAACAGCAGAGTCAAGGGGAAGATGGACAAGACCAGCAGCTCCATCTGCAGGTTAGAAAAGACTCCGTCTTACAGTTGTACTCTGGTCCTCGATGATTATGGCTGGAACTAAATTTGCCCTGTGCAAATGTAACAGAACATAACTGATAATTGTTGCTTTGGTCATAATCATGATGGTGTTTTCAAAAGTTCATGTTTATTTTTAGCCTTTTTTTCCTTTCTGAATTAAGAATGTGAACTCGTTTAACTAGGACTAGTTAATACTACTAATCATAACAATACCATGTTACAACATAACAGTATTATCATACTATGAATTACCATCATGTAATTAATAAGATGTGTTTAACTCTGCTGCCATCTTTCTCAAAAACCTTTTTTTTTTTTTTTTTTTTTTTCCCTTTGCTCTTCTACTGCAGGGTCAAGTAGCCACTGAAGCTCAGGGCGAAGCACCCACAGAGATTCTGGTTCCTGTGTGTCTAAAGCCAGAGGAAGGGCTGGAGGTTTGGCGCCTTTGGGTGAAGAGAAAAAATGCTGAACTAAGCAAACGGGAAACAACAAAGCTTGCGCCCATAGGACGTAAGTAGGCCTGTTACAGTTGTCTCAGTAACAGTGAGCTCTTGCTGAAACCAGAGGAAGTCACAACATTTTGCTGTTGGCACTCTGTAGTACGTACTGTTATTCTTAGTCACCTAGAAGTAAAGTCAGTTTTACACTGCTTCTCCAAACGTAGTGTTTTCTGGTATTTCTGCGTTCAGGTCGTCAGCCCCTGCGTTTTCAGGAAGATCTGGTATCCAGTGCAGTGGCGGAGTTAAACTTGGGTCTTTCCCTGATGACTCAGGAGGCACGAGGATCCGAGGACGAACAGTTTGCTCCCGATGTCCTGTATTATGTTTTCTTGTGTATACAGAAGGTTAGTATCTCCATACTCAACCACAAAAAGGCAGGAAGAATAAAACTAAGGCTGAAATTGCTTTTCTGTGTTGTTGGGTTTTTTTTTCTTTTTTATAGTATCTTTCTGAAAATGGACGTGTGGATGATATTTTCAATGATCCATATTACACTCGATTTTGCGAAAGTTTACACAAAATCCTGCACGACTGGAAACCCACTGTGCATCCTTTAGGTAAGGCAAAATCCACAATTTTGTAATTGTTTTCGATATTCAGGCAGCATTTACATGTCCATTGTCGAGTGTTTACATACATCTTTGACATTTGGGATCTTTTCTGGCATGATTGTCATAGCAACAACCATCAGTCATTCACAAGATTAAAAGAGCTTCTGTTGCCTGTTTGCATTAGCCATGCTAGCTGCACTTTACTAACCTTATGCAGTTAACAGCATTTTTTTTGGCAAGGACGAGCTAAGCAGCAGATCGACGATTTAGTTCGGGATCACATCATCCTGTTCAACATGACGGAGATGCGCTGAAGCCTTAAACACATGCATGTGAATCCTGCCGTACTCATGGTATGTTTTCCTCTTAGGTTATATCATCCCAAGTCACGTGACAGAGGAGATGCTGTGGGAGTGTAAACAGCTTGGCGCACATTCACCTTCCACATTGCTCACAACTCTAATGTATTTCAACACTAAGTGAGTAACCATTGAATGGCCCTTAGTCTTTTATCCTCTCTCTAATCGCTCAGAGTCAAATACCGAATATGGTACAATGTCGTATTTGTTGCAGGTATTTCCACTTGATAACACCTGAACAGCACATGAAAGTAGCTTTCTCTAAAGTCTTAAGACACTCAAGGAAGAACCCAACTAACGCCAAGGACAAAGCAACCAGTATTCGCCTTCTCAAAGGGCAAGGCCTACACAGTGCTGGACAAAAAGGTACTCTCTTGCTCAGGTCGTGATTAGCTCAGTGTTGGATAGCAGAAATGCCCGTTGTTGACCTGTTGCTGTGTACTGCATCATTTAGGAACCGATGACATGTATGAAGAGCAGATCGAGGATCCTGCGAATCCTCTTCGTTGTCCCATCAAACTTTATGACTTTTACCTCTTCAAATGGTGAGCAGCACTTCAGCTTAGTAGGATTTATGTGATGATTACTCTTCAGTTTACACCCCCAGACACATGCTTAACTTTCTTTTCCAGCCCACAGAGCGTTAAAGGACGTAACGATGCGTACTACATGACTCCAGAGCCTGTCGTTGCACCAAACAGCCCGATGTGGTACTCCTCTCAGCCCCTCACAATTCAGCAGGTGGAACAAATGCTGTCTCGCATCATCGTGGTCAGAGAGATCCAGGAGATCATCTGTGTTGTTCCAGAAAATGTGAGCTAGATTGAGGACTTGGCTCACAGGAACTTGTTCTCCAGATTGTTGACTATGCAGTATCCATCCTGACTATTATCATCGATGGCCATTAAAATAAAGTGGAACAACTTCTGAGGAGAGTATCATGATTATGCTCATCAGATCCACAAATTCTTCTCTTCTTATTATCTCTGTTTTTGACCGGTAGGTTGGATTTCTCGTTCTCTTGGCTGCCTTTGTAAGATATCACCTCTGTAACTTTTGAACCGGCAAGTGAGCAAGACTTTAGTCTCTTCTCAGCTGGGCAGAGATGATACACGTTCGTGTACAAAGTCAATCTTATAAATGATTAAACAACTGTAATCTTTTCTTTCTTAACCTCACAGGCTGTTCACGTCTTAATTCTCTAGTACCACTAGTAATAATCTTAAGACAGTTACAGGGACCAGTGCTCACAACTTTTTTTTAAAAATACATTTTGGACCATGTATGATAAGTTTGAATCTGAAATACTTGTGCCTGTTTTTTCCAAAACATAATTACATGATATTGCTTGTGGAATAAGTTAAAACTCAATCATTCACATGGTTAAGTGCTACAGATCGGTGACAAATTGAAGGCAAAACCAGTGTGTTTCAGTAACTTGGTTGCCTGTGCTGCCTCTTTAACTCAGCTGTAGTGAAGGACACAATTTTTCTTTATCTAGAAGATATCCTCTAAATGGGTATTTTAACCATGGTAGTGGCCATGTTGGCCCAAACTCCCCCGCAGGGCACTTTTTGTTTAAGATCCGGTGACTCCAGAGGTCATAGCCTGATTCATAATTTCATAGCTCAAGTATTTCAACCCCTTCCTGCATCCTGGGAGATGCCACTCGTGTCAAAACTGAAGCATTTTAACATAGGATTAATGTGAGCTGAGACGTACTCCCTCAGCATAACTGAGACACCATATACTGTTGGATTTTTTTCCCTTTAATTTGTCACCTATATCTGTATATTGTAGTCATTCAGATTTTTCTCAGGATAAAACTAACATCTGAAACACCCATCAAGGATTTTTGCCAACGTATTCCTTCATGTATGTGTGTATAGTAGGCTATTAAACAATATATGCAGATGGAATCTTTGTAGTAAGTCATGTCAAGCTGAAACATAATGATTACTGTCTTCTAAAAAGAAAAAGTGAGCTGTGGGTCTTTTTAATAATGACGCATTTGAATGGTTCTTATTCAGTTCCATAGCATCAGTTTTTAATAATTAACACATTCTGTTCCACATCTGTCCACTATCACACGTATCGGCGCTGTAGTTACACATCCTGATGTTCTATTCCACATTTAAATTACATTTAACAGGGTTGGACTGTTAAACGCTGAACAAAGCAAGGAGATGATCACGTTTGTTTTTCATCTGGGAGAGTTATATGCAGTCGGCCCAGTGTTTGGGTGAAGTATTTCGGTAGCGGGCAGGACACGTTGACGTCAGCTTGGCTGCTTCCTGGCAGCGTCAGCTGTCGTGCATGTAAATGAAGGGGGAGGTGCCGAACCTTGCTCTGTTCAATCCCAAGTTTTCCCAACACACGTTCTGGTAATTTCTGTGGAAGGAAATGTATTATTTAGTCATCATTTGTGACAAAATAGAAATCAAACTCTTATACATGTTAAAAAAGAGACTGTAAACATCTTACCTGTGGTGCCAGTTTGCTCCAGTGGGAATATTTGTGGTCACCAAGAATGGGACACCCGAGAGCAAAGGCCATATGAACCCTCATCTGGTGCTTCACTCCTGTGAACACAATGAAGCAGAAAAATACCGAACATGTGCCCAGGCAGGTTTTTGGGATGATTTCCTTTTGTTCACATGTGCACTGTTACCTGTAAAAGGCTGGAGTTCCACAAGGCTGCAACCACTGCTGCTGTCCAGGACTCTGTACTTGGTCAATGCTGGATGAGCTTGGCGATGACTTCGGACTTTGGTTACACCATCACCTTCATCGTTCAGTCTGTAAAGAGGACTCAGAGCCATCTGAAATCAAAGAAGTTGTTATGAGACTGGAAAATGCACACCATTATTTAAACAATAACTAGTAATTTACTCAAATGCTCTGGACAACAAACCCAAACTAATTTAATGTGTAATAAACATACTAACTACTAAGCTAAAAGCCGTACATACAAGGATGTTTAAAGCAATGATCATACAGAATAAGAGGCACCTTGTAGTGTGGCTGAGGACCTGTGACCTCTCTCTCTATGATGGGAATATCAATCAGACCTTCAGATGGCACAGGAACACCAACCGTGATAACCCTGAAAAGGAACAACATAACTAACATGCAGTGGGAGTATTAGCATGTACATTATTTAATTAATCCTTATCAGTTTCCCCTACTCACCAGTACTTCCTCTCCACTTTGTTATTTCTATTCAGAGCGAGTACGTGCTCCACCACTTCATCCCTCCTGGCCAGCAGGAGAGTTCCCGTTGAGTCCTTTTCTAGACCCAGACAGGGAATGAGCTGAGAATCAGACTTGATCTTCATCCCATCCATCATTTTTGAGAGAACAGGAAGCACAGAGGTGATGGATGTGACGTCGGAGTCATCTGGGAGACAGCAGCAACATTACATTTGTGGTGCCAGTTAGACATCCCAGCTTCAGTGTGATAGCTGACATTTTTATGGTCATTCCAGCTGTTCTCAGTAATGATACTGCATGTCTCCTAACAATAACAACAACAATAATAATAATAATAACAACAATACTGAGCCTGTTTAAGAACACCTTAATATGTACAACAATAAAATATAGTCTCACCACATAATTTTTCATACACATGTTTAACTGTTCATTAATACAAATATCTAATTAGATAATCACATTAATTTAGCATGCAGGCATCAATAATTCAGAGCCATGATCAGAATGGGAAAGAAAGGTGATTTAAAAGACTAAATGTGGCATGGCTCTTGGTGTCAGACAGGCAGGTTTGAGTATTTTATAAAGTTTCCCAATCATCTTTCGGGTTCACACAGAACAGTACAAATGGATGATGTCAGACGATGTTTTCTTGGCACACTCTGTGCCCTTTAGTACCATCGTTTAAACACCACAGTCTACCTGAATATTGCTGCTGACCATGTCCATTGTAAAACACCATGTTACAAAGATCTCATATTGTTTTTTTTCTTAACATTACAATGAGTTGATTTTTATTTTTATTTCAAACTGAAAATAAAAACTTTTTCAAACTTCTTGTCAGTGTAATCAGATTAAAGAAGACAGCCCAGTGTTGGTTTACCTGCCACAGGGATGCCGTAGGGTTTGTTGACGATCACTACATCCTTGTCCTGGTACAGCACGCTTCTGTGGAGGTGTTTGGCGAGCACGTTGGGGTGCACATTTTGTAACTGTACACTGAACCGTTTCAGCTCCATCACCCTCCTCTGCTGGGCAGACATGGGAGGCGCTGTCTCTCGGGTCTTCGACTTCTCTCCTCGGATCTTACGGGCCAGGTCAACGGCTCTAACACGGGGTTTGTCATCTGCGTCGGAGCCTGGAGTGTGGTTGGCAGCGGTGCTCTGACCCCGGGCGAGGGGCGGTGTTGTCTGCGGACACTGGCGGCAGGTTGTCCGGGGTTTGGCCAGACAGAAGAGCACATCCAGGCCGGAGCGCCGGTCAAACACACGCGCTAGTCTCCCACAGCTGTTCATCACGGCACTGAGTGAACCTCACAGACCAGACGGCGCACACGAGCTTCAAAACACAAGCATGAACTCTGAAGTTATTAAAGAAGTTCCGGGCCAAGCCTTTCAGAATAAAAGCATAATTTCATCCATTCATTCAAATTAAAATAATTCTGACATATTAGACACTATATAGATAAAACCAAACGACAAACGATATAACTATCCGTTTAAATGCTCTTAAACATAACAAATACACACTGCGTAAATGTAAAAAAGCATTCCGGTAATTTCCGCCTTTCTCTCAACGGGTGTATTTGTTAACTACGCTTACACGGCCCGCCAGGTCACAACTGCAAAATATTATAGCTTCTGGCAAGCACCGCCCGCCTGGTAGATGAATAAAACTAAGTCGATCATAATTTCCGGTTGTTACAAAGTTGCATGTTGTCTGCTGTGGATTTTTGTTGCCATAATGCAAATACAAGCACCTTAGTGATCTAATGGACAGCAGATGCGCATAGCTCAACCAAACCGAAATAATTACCAGGCTTCATTAAATCTCAGACAGGAAGCTGATGGAGTGTTTTTTCTCCTAACGTATGCTTTCTTGGTAAAAGCCTGCAGCTATGAAGATCACAGACGGTGTATTACGATGTTTCAGAGTGGCCAGGACTCATCGGAAAAACGAAGAGAAGGTCAACTGCGTGGACTACAGCCCAAATGGTGAAAATGTGATAACAAGCAGCGACGATGACCGCATACTGCTGTATGACATGCGAGATGGAAAGTAAGTGGCAGCCACTGTAGACAGTATACTGTATATGATAAATAAGATCCTTAATGTGACTGCATTGTGTTCTTATGGTGTCCTTGTGCTTTTCTCAGGTGCAAAAGCAACCTCTTCAGCAAAAAGTATGGAGTAGACCTCATCCGCTACACGCATGGAGACACAAATACAGTGATCTACAGCTCCAACAAACTGGATGGTAAACACTTGACGCCATGCACAGCAATGCGAATACAGTTAGTGGTCCATTTTGGAAAATGAAATATATTTTGGGATATTTTTCAGATACCATCAGATACCTTTCGCTCACTGACAACAAGTACATCCGATATTTCCCAGGTCACACTAAGAGGTGCGTAAAGCAAACACACAACCTTAATCAACCACAACTGTAAACATGTAGACTGGTATTCAGTGAAAGCAGACAGTTATATAGTATGCACCCTATATGCCTACTAAGTAAATGGACATGCTTTTATTTACTGTAACCAGACTAAATAGAATAAAATGTAGTTGAGTGGAATTCTCATTTTCTACCTTTCTGGAGCTTTCTCCAGTGTGCTCATAAAAATACAGAAATATACACTCAATGGTGACTTTATTAGCTAAACCTGTTGAACTGGATTTTAGTGGAAATATCTAATCAGCCAGTGTCATGGCAGCAACTCAATACATTTAGGCATGGTGAAGGTGATGTGCTGAATTTCAAACTGAGCATCAGGATGGGGAACAAAGGTAATTTCAGTGACTTTAATGTGGCGTGGTTGCTGGTGCCAAACGGGCTGGTCTGAGTACTTCTGATACTGCTGATCTGCTGGGATGTTCCCACACAACCAACTCCAAGATTTACAGAAAATGATCTGAAAAAGCAAAAAATTCCAGTAAGCAGCATTTCTCTGGGTGAAAATTCCTCGTTGGTGACAGAGGAGAATAGTCAGACTGCTTTGATCTGAAAGGAGAGAAATAGTAACTCAAATAACCACTCGTTATAACCAAGTTATGCAATAGAGCATCTCTGAATGCTCTCCAGACATTTCTGTAGCAGATGTGCTAAAGCAGCACAAGATCACACTGGGTGCCACTCCTGTCTGCTAAGAACAATAAACAGTAGTTACGGTTTATATCGCTACAATTAGACAACAGAAGAAAAACGTTGCCTGATTGAATGATTCTCAATTTCTCCTGTAAGTTTGAGATGTTAGGATCAAAATTTGGATGAAACAAAGCGTTGCACTCAAATGGCCTCCAGAGTCACAGATTTCAGTCCAACAGAGCACTTTTGGATTGCAGAGGAATTCAGATTCTCATTGTGGATGTGCATATAGTGTGCATACCTGAAAAGCTTGTTCCTGTCTGTCTTTCCTTAAAGTAATTTTACATTCAATAAAACATTAGCTCAATCCTGATCAGTTAAAACCAGTTTGTTTGGGTTTCAGGGTTACTGCTCTCTCCATGTCTCCGGTGGATAACACATTTATCTCTGGGTCACTGGACAAGACTATCCGGATCTGGGACCTCCACTGTCAAAACTCTCAAGTAAGTAGTTTGTCACTTGATTGAAAAGTTCCATTTCTTCTGCCATTTGTACACATTTACAAATGTGTAATAACAGCTACAGTAATAGAATAGTGTGCTTTATATTGTGACACAAAATACTGCCTATTAAAGTGCTGTTGATTAGTAGTCCCTGAGTAGTCTTGACCACCAGAGGTCTCCAAATCTCTCTTGGATCTGCTCAGACATAATAAATCTATGGGTAATACCAGAAACATAACCTTGCAAAAATATAAGGAGTAAATAAACACCAAATGGAAATAAACACATAAATATGAAAACATGTGATGCAGAAAGTGGTCATTATTGAGGATTCTTTTGCATATTTCTTGAAAGTTACCAGTTTATGTTGCACAATCTCTCTGATTTTCAGGGTTTGATAAATCCACTGGGGACACCTCTGTGTTCGTTTGACCCCGATGGGCTGATATTTGCTGCAGGAGTGGATTCAAAGACAGTTAAACTCTATGACTTTCGTGCTTTTGACAAGGTACAGCTGAGTCCATTAAGGGTTTTCTGTTTGTGTTCACATGCATTCTTTCCAAAAGCCTTAAATGAAATTCTTAATTATCTGAAAATCTTCCCGTTGAAGGGCCCGTTTGCCTGTTTTGAAACGAGGTTTAATCGCGTTTGTGACTGGACTGGACTCAAATTCAGTAGTGATGGGAAGCAGATCCTCATATCTACAAATAAAGGGATTATTGGAGTCTTGAATGCTTTCAATGGATCTGTTCTGCACACTTTTTCCGTAAGAGACATATTGGAACAAAAATACGGAATTGCATCTGTTTTTATGTTAATATAATTATTTTCAGATTACATGCTGAAGCCATCCCTGTCTTTCCTCATTTTAAGGGCTACAACAACAGTAAAGGCATCTCACTGGAGGCCTGCTTCACACCTGACTCGCAGTTTGTCATGATTGGTAAGCTAAAAAAAACCCCTCAAACTTTAGATTTGAGCCTTTTCCTTTAAGCTTCCTGTTAACACTCTGGTTTTTCCAGGCTCAGAAGACGGGAGAGTTCACGTTTGGAGCACAGAGAGTGGAATGAAAGTGGCCGTGCTGGATGGGAAGCATCCAGGACCCATCAGTGCGCTCCAGTTCAACCCCAGATTCATGACGTTTGTTAGTGCCTGCTCTAACACGGTGAGAGCAAGCCTATCTTACCAGTGTGTCATTGATCTCCTGCTGGAAAAACTGCTTATTGTTCTCATTTTGACTTTTTAAAAATTATTTTCTCAACAGACTTTTTGGCTCCCGTGTGTTGATGACTTGTAAAGGCACCAAAGGTCACCATCATGGAGTGAAGTTGGACCTTCCTTTACAAACATCATGACCAAGGAATATTTTGGAAAAATGTTATGTTGTTTCTACCTTTTTTTAAAAAGATGTTTCATTAGCTTTTATTTGCCTGTGTTTTTAAAAAATAATAATTGTGCTTTTATTGATGGTTTTATAATAAACTGGTTTAAAGTTATATAATAAAAAATCTTGTTTTTTAAACATTGTCCCTCATCCCTCCTCAAACGTTTGCTAGGAATTATCTGAATTCCAACAAGTGCTTTTATTATTATTATTTTTCCTTTGTATTAACGAACAATATTAGAAGTATAAGTGTAAACTGACAAACACTAACAAGTGAGAGTTTTCTGTGTGTGTGTGTGTGTGTGTGTGTGTGTGTGTGTGTGTGTTTCCAAATCCTGTGCTTCTTTACCCTAGCTTAGATCCTCGTGGCGCAAATTCAACAAGGTGCTGGAAACATTTCTTAGAGATTCTGGTCCATATTGACATGAAGACACAGAAGTTGGATATCAGTTGGAGATGGTTTACGCTTCGTGTCAAGGCACATTATCCTGATTGAAGCAGCCATCTGAAGACCACTACACTGTGGTGATAAAGAGATGGACGTGGTCAGAAATGAATGACGATGCAAGTACCAGTCTACTTCCTCAGCCTGTCTGACCGATTCTGATGCTCGGTTTCATCGTGTAGATGATGTACACATGTCTAAATGCCTGGAATACAGTGGGGCAAAAAAGTATTTAGTCAGCCACCGATTGTGCAAGTTCCCCCACTTAAAATGATGACAGAGGTCAGTAATTTGCACCAGAGGTACACTTCAACTGTGAGAGACAGAATGTGAAAAAAAAATCCATGAATTCACATGGCAGGATTTGTAAGGAATTTAACCGTAAATCAGGGTGGCAAATAAGTATTTGGTCACCTCAAACATGGAAAATCTCTGGCTCTCACAGACCTGTAACGTCTTCTGTAAGACGCTTTTCTGTCCCCCACTCGTTACCTGTATGAATGGCACCTGTTTGAACTCATCATCTGTATAAAAGACACCTGTCCACAGCCTCAAACAGTCAGACTCCAAACTCCGCCATGGCCAAGACCAAAGAGCTTTCGAAGGACACCAGGAAAAGTATTGTAGACCTGCACCAGACTGGGAAGAGTGAATCTACAATAGGCAAGCAGCTTGGTGTGAAGAAATCAACTGTGGGAGCAATCATCAGAAAATGGAAGACATACAAGACCACTGATAATCTCCCACGATCTGGGGCTCCACGCAAGATCTCATCCCGTGGGGTCAAAATGATCATGAGAACGGTGAGCAAAGATCCCAGAACCACACGGGGGGACCTGGTGAATGACCTGCAGAGAGCTGGGACCAAAGTAACAAAGGTCACCATCAGTAACACACTACAACGGCAGGGAATCAAATCCCGCAGTGCCAGACGTGTTCTGCTGCTGAAGCCAGTGCATGTCCAGGCCCGTCTGAAGTTTGCCAGAGAGCACATGGATGATACAGCAGAGGATTGGGAGAATGTCATGTGGTCAGATGAAACCAAAGTAGAACTTTTTGGTATAAACTCAACTCGTCGTGTTTGGAGGACGAAGAATACTGAGTTGCATCCCAAGAACACCATACCTACTGTGAAGCATGGGGGTGGAAACATCATGCTATGGGGCTGTTTTTCTGCCAAGGGGACAGGACGACTGATCCGTGTTAAGGACAGAATGAATGGGGCCATGTATCGTGAGATTTTGAGCCAAAACCTCCTTCCATCAGTGAGAACTTTGAAGATGAAACGAGGCTGGGTCTTCCAACATGACAATGATCCAAAACACACCGCCCGGGCAACAAAGGAGTGGCTCCGTAAGAAGCATTTGAAAGTCCTGGAGTGGCCTAGCCAGTCTCCAGACCTCAACCCCATAGAAAATCTGTGGCGGGAGTTGAAAGTCCGTGTTGCTCGGCGACAGCCCCAAAACATCACTGCTCTCGACAAGATCTGCATGGAGGAATGGGCCAAAATACCAGCTACTGTGTGTGCAAACCTGGTAAAGACCTATAGTAAACGTTTGACCTCTGTTATTGCCAACAAAGGTTATGTTACAAAGTATTGAGTTGTATTTTTGTTATTGACCAAATACTTATTTTCCACCCTGATTTACCAATAAATTATTTACAAATCCTACCATGTGGATTCATGGATTTTTTTTCACATTCTGTCTCTCACAGTTGAAGTGTACCTCTGGTGCAAATTACTGACCTCTGTCATCATTTTAGGTGGGGGAACTTGCACAATCGGTGGCTGACTAAATACTTTTTTGCCCCACTGTAACTGTTATACGATTGGCTGATTAGATATTTGAATGACTTAGCAGTTAAACATAAATGTAGGCCCCCTCACACATGTGTAGCTCTAACTGATCCATTTCCAGTTTTCAGACTTTTTCCATTTGTCACACCCCTAAAAGGATCAGTCAACGCTAATGCACGATTCTCTTGAATCTTGAAAGTGAGACTTTGCTTAAGTTTTATGTTTCAGTTATGGTGAACTATTCTTGAACTCTGTTATCTAACTCAAACCTGTTGCCTCATCTAAATACAGGGAGTCATGTTAAACAAAGCTCAGTTTAAGTTATCCAGCTTTTCTTAAGTAAAGAAGCTTTTCTTAAGCTGAATGGTGATTTACATCTTAACAACATTCAAATTAAATAATGCTCTGAATCACACTGAATTTATTTACATATTTTATTATATAATTTGCCCCTGTTGGAGGAAGATGAGGCTATTCTTGTCAAGGCTCAACTGAAGAAGCAGCACACTGGTGTTGGCCAGAGGGGCCGATGGCGCGATATGGCAGCCTCGCTTCTGTCAGTCTGCCCCAGGGCAGCTGTGGCTACAACTGTAGCTTGCCTTCACCAGTGTATGAATGTGAGAGTGAATGAATAGTGTTGTAAAGCGCTTTGAGGGGTCCCGAAAAGCGCTATATAAATGCAATCCATTATTATTATTATTATTACAGTCGTTCTTCCAGAATAACCCGAACCGCTTTCTCTTCTTTCTCAGACTTTTCTCATTTCCTGTAGATTTTTGTTCTGAACTCTGTCATCTCTCTGAAAAGTGCTTCATGCTGCACATCAAGTTTCTTGAACCTTTTCTCTCGTTCTTTTAGTGTTTCCTGCTTTTCTTCACGTTTTTCTTCCAGTTCTTTGTTTGCCTCATGCATGTGTTTCTTTGTTGTTCTTTATGATGGGTGGCTTGTTACTCTTCATGTCTCTTCTGTAGTAATTGAAATGAAGACTGTATGTCTTTATGACTTTTCTCCTGCCGTTGCTTCTGCTTCTGCTTTTTGGTGTTGGCTTACTGGACTTTGTTATAGAGTGCTTGTAAATGGCTGTTTTTGGTCACCACTTCGTGGATTCGTCACTCTATATCTCTGCATATTTTCTCAAGTTCAATTTTATTTCCTTCACTTCATTGTAAAATACTTGTAATTCTGTATTTTGTGTTTCAAACTCTTGGAGAATGTGCTGCGTCTCTCTTTGGGTTTCTTCCAGTTGTTCCTTCTCTTTTAGCAGGTCTGAATTTTCTTTGTGCGCTTTATCAATCATTACTTGTAATGCTTCCATTTTTTCCTCTGTGTCTTCAAGTTTGCACTGCATCTGTTGGTGACCTGCCTCCTGTTCTTCCTTGTCTTTAAGCATTCGTGTGTTTCTTCTCAATGCTTCATCAGACGTCACTTGGAGGCTTTCATTTCTCTTCTCTGTCTTGGAGCTTGCACTACATCTCTATGTATTTTTCTTCTGTGTCATAGACCTCGTAAAACATTTCTCTATGTTTGATTTTCCATTTTTTAAACTCTTTCTCCAGTTGTGTATTTCTTTCAAGTGCTTCATCAAACATTACTCGCAAGCCTTCATTATTTTCCTCCATATCTTGGAGCTTGCAATGCATTTCACTGTTCTTCTCTTCCAGTTGACTTTTCTCCTCCTGCATTTTTGTGATCCTGTTTTCAAGGTCTTGTTTTTCCTTGTTACAATTATTAAAATCTCTTTTGAGGGCTGGAAATTCACTCCAAGGAGGAGTGATGAGGTGTTCCGTTTGTCTTGGGTGACGTTGTCTCTGAGACAGTTTGGTACCTTGATGCAACGACTCTGTAGTTTTCTATTTTATTTTACTTTATTTAGGTACAAGAATTACCAGTAAAGTTTCAATCTCTATTTTATCTTTATCTTTACCTTTATCTAAGAATTGTCATTATTTTCATATTTTTATTTTCATATTGTTACAACAGAAACAATAGGAACAGAAGCATGCAGCTGGATAGTATAGTAGTAAGACTACACACTCTTGGAGCAGGAGGCTCAAGTTTTATTCCCACCTGGTATCCAGTAAGGGTCCTGGCTAGACCCCCCATGCTAAAACCAAGCCCTGGAATGGCACAACTATGTCCGCAGCTCGTACACAAGCATTTCACTACATGTTGTCCTCTGTATGATTGTGTATGTGACAAATGAAGGTTGTTTCTTTTGCTGAAACAATAATGGAAATAGATATTTGTTTTATAATATATAAATATTGGTACTGTTTGTTGGGGACTATTTTTAATGAGTATATTTATTGTTAGTGTATTTTATTATATAACACACACACACACACACACACACACACACACACACACACACACATACACACAAATTCTAAGCTAACTTGTTATTTAAACACAAAGAAGCAAGTTTCCCTTTTCACCAGCCATCTTGTGACCCATGTTAATGGTTGGTCGCATATTTATTTTCAGGGATCATCACATCATAGAAATGGAAAATGTAGAATCACCAGTCAAATCTGCTGAGAGCAGGTAAAATGTGACTTTGCCACAGAACAGGAAGTTGAAGTCCTGGTTCCACTGCAGTATAAGTAGTATCAGAGGGTCGTTCATGGCTTTTTGCTCTGCTTGTGTTAAAGTGGTTCCTGTGGTTTTCCTGTGACGTTCCTTAAACTGGAACATCAGCCTTTACAAAGTCAGACTTTCACATGTGTTCTGCACAGTCACAGTAATCCTCTTCATCATGGCTGGACACCTTCTGTCAGTCATCCTCATGTGTAAGTTAAACCTCTTGTAGCTTTTCGATTGAAGATGCTAAATCTGTAGGTTTTACATTTTTCATGGTTGTGGATTTTACGTTGTGTTCTTACAGCAACTTTTGTAACTTTGTGGTGCTTCTATTTTTTTTATTTTTAATCAATAAACTCACGTGAGGAGTCCCAAACTAAAACTTTCTCAGCAGGACAAATTCCTGTGATCTTGAAAAGACAGTTTGTTTGTATTAATGAGCCATTAATACATAATTATAATAATGGTTATTAATACGTGCATTTAGTATGTTGTTAACAAATTTTCTTTCCAACAGCTTTTGTTCATGAGATTCAAGCACAAGGTGAGTTCCTGATGTTCCAGTGTTCAGATTTTTCTGTGACTGCATATTTGTTCTTTACTTAAACCAAAAATTACCTATTAGATCAAAAATTTCTTTACCTCTGATTTTTCAGCTCTTCTTCCACCAACGCTGACAGTGAACACAGAGGTGATCTCAGAGACGGACTCGGTCACGTTACACTGTCAGGCACCAACATCTGTTTCAGTTCATCAGTGTTTTTTCTACACGGTGAGCAAAAGTACTTCCAAAGCCTTCTCATGCCTGCAGAATTTCACTGCAACAGAACTGCTGTTAATGTCACATCACAGTTCACCTGCTGAAGTTAAAGTGAGATGTTTTTACACTGGAGACCTTAATTCAACGTCTGCTGACAGTGAACCATCCTCCATCACCATACAAAGTGAGAGACTGCTCTTCCTGTGACTGGATAAGTTATCATACAGTGTGTTAGACGTTATTATCTTTATAAACCTTCATGTTTTCTTTCACAAAACTTTTTTAGGAGTGTTGTTCTTACATATTTTCTTAAACCACCAAAGACAGCACGCAGGAATCTAAACATGACCAGTTACAGTTAATTACAAAATGTGTTGCAGTTCAGCTTTTATGAACACCAGTATTGTTATTGTTGTGCTGGTAAAACATACAATATTCTTGTATATTAATGGGACTTGATTAATCTTCATGTAGGTCAAACACCACAGATGAGTGTGCAGCATTTTAATGGGGAACATGTTCGGTTTGTTTGCTCTCTGCCTGGATCTGTGAAAGATGATACAAGATGTAATCTGTACTTTGGAGAAGCAAGTCGTTTAGTCCTCACAGTAGCTGTCGGGAAGAATAGCAAGACAAAAAACAAACAGCGGTTCTGCCAGTTTTATGTCTCAATTGATGATTTTTTTGAGACATCTACATTTTGTTCAACAAAAAGATGCCAGCTGTGATTACACTTTGAAAAGGGAACCCAGGTCTTTGTCTCCTCACAGTGATCGATACAACTTAACAGGTAAGTCAAAGATAAACAGACTTTATAGCACAGATGCTACTTTAATACATTAAAATGATGAAAATGACTAAAATAAAAGCATTCAAAGTATTTTTCTCTAAAAATGTTCTGCGTTTGTTACTCGCAAAGTTTTCATTTCGTTTCACTTTGTTTATTTGGACCCTCAGTGCAAATAAATAGAACTGAGCTTTGATGTGAAAAAGAGTACGTCCAGACTTGCAGTCTCTTTGAGCTTTGATGATATTGTCAGCATAATAACATGCTTACAGTAGAAATGGGTAAAGGTTTTTACACTGGATACCCTTCCTGACACAAAATATTTTGTTTTAATACATAGATATAAAAATATGAATATTTGCTGATAAATGATCAGAATTATAATATTTTTCACTGTCAGATTCAAAATTGAATGGAATCGAATCGACTGGAATCGGGGATCAAATCGAATCGGGACCTTGTTTAATCAGAATCGGATCACTTGTAGAAATCAGTGATGATACCCAGGCCTAGACACTACCAAATATTTCAGTATAGGTAAAAAATAGTCCCTCGTCTGACACTCCCTTTGGGACAGATTTAACATTTAATAAAATAGTAAATGTGTTTTCAAAAATTTAAATCACTTTTGAATTGATTGCAGTATTAAAATGATCTTAAACATGTTTGTGGATTTATGCAGCAAAACCGCAGCAAAATACTTCCACCTCTACCACTTCTGTGAACTCACCGTCTAAGTCAGGTAACTGATGTGTTTTGTGTGACAATTGTTGATAGCACATTTAAATAGTTAGCGTCAGCCTTACAGTTAGTGCCACCTCTGTAGTCAAAACATGTGACGATTTTTGAGTGGTAAGATTGTTAGGTATGCATCAAAAATTCAGACATAAGCATAAACATTTGCTAAAATGTGCTTCTGAGCAGCTGAGCCATTAATTTAGCAATGTTTTTTTTTCATCATAAATTTGTAACTTCCTGCAGGTAAAGAAAGAGCCTGTTCGTGTAAAAGTAGAGGAACTAAGTAGAGTGACAACAGTTTTTTTCTTTTTATGGCTAAAATTACAAAATATTTACTGAAGTAATTCTGTCCTCAGAGTTAGCATCAGTTTTCCAGTTAGACGCACAGTGAACATACTCACACAGTCAGGCACAGAAGTTACATTAACTTGATTTCTATTATAATTACGACTGTCTACTGTCTGGTCTCTACTGTTATTTTGTTCCCCTGAGGTACGGGGATTTCTAAAACTGAAATAACACAGGGAAAATAAAGAAACCAACACATTTTTATCAGAGCAAAACCTACATGATTTCTCTTATCTGTATAACAACAGTTGTAATCATTAAATTCTCTTAGCTTAATTATTGTTCCTGTGACTGCTGACCAAGAAAACTAGAAGTACTGTTTTGAGTGTAACAACAAAAATAAGCACCAGAGGGACACAAAGACAAGAACTATTCAGCATCTCCAGACATTTGCACTCATATTATGTCTGCACTAAATTTACAACAATACACAAAATGTTAAAATTTGGAACAAGGCAGTGGATTGACTGAGTAACTAACAATACTGCTGGGAAAGAAATAGTCATTAATGTGATAATACTTTTGATTATTAGTTCAAAATGACTTGATAACTCAATCACACAATCACTATAAATAAAGTCTTTAACATTTTTTGTGTATTTATGCAGCAGAATCAAGTCTCATGACACCCAGGGCTTCCATTTCTACCAGTACTGTGGACGTATCGTCAGGTAACTAAATTACTGAGGTTTTATGCATTGTAGCGTTATTTAATCAGAATTTATTGATTTTTCTTTATTAATGCAATCCTCCTCAAAGCAGAGACATAGAGCTTTGGTGTAATATATTGTTTTGTTTAGTTTTTAAATATGCTTTTATTCTAAACATTGTAGAAGAAGTTTCAAGAAAAACAAACACAAAATCATCATTTACCTTGACCACAGGTACGACATACAATTCATGTGAATATTAACTCTGATCATCACACATCACTTCTTAAATCTTAGATCTTAAACATTTCTGGTGCTTTTACAGCAGAATCGAGTCTCAGCAGTTTCAGTGCTTCCACTTCTCCCACTTCTGTCATCTCACCATCAGGTAATTAAATTACTGATGTTTTATTTGTGACAATAGTTAATAAGAAATCAGAGCAGACATTAATCTCTTTTTCAGTTAGAGATGAGATGTGTTTGTGGTTTCCTAAACAGGAATGTGGACACTGACTGTTGTGTTGGTCGTTGTTGGTTCTGGTGTAACTGTGGGTGCCATCTTATTGGTACTGGCAGTTTTCAGATCTAAAAGAAGAACTGGTGAGATCTCAATCAGTTATTATGTAAAATCATGCAGATGTATTTGATAGTTAGAGTGTAATATTAACATTTCACACTCAGTGGATACCAACTACAGTGTCTTCTTCTTAAAAGCAGTTTTGTAGTCAGATTTGTTGTTAGAGGCTCTTCTGTTTCACAGACGTCTCACTGAATCAGAGCTTGTCAGTTTGTAATTAACGGCTGTAAAGCTGATCTGACCCCAGCAGACTAACTGTCACTTCTTTATTGCTGTTTATTCCAGAAGGATATTCTCTAAAGAGGCAAGAAACCTGTTTTCAGCAAGTATTATTTTGTTATCACTTGTATAGACGGAAGTTAAACTTACTGACTTTAGATTTTCTTATTCTGCAACTAAACAGAATTATTGGAAGAGTTGTGGATTAAATGCCTTGCTCAGGGGCAGCGGGGCACTTCAGGGCAGAAAGTCCATTCACTTTCCTGTATCAAAAAACAGTCTTTAAAGTAGTAACCAAACAGAGTAATACGATTGGTCTATGGAGAATATTCAACATTTATATGATTTTTGTTTAATTTTTAAATTAATTTTCCTTTTTTATGTTTAGGACAAGAACCAGCATCCAAGGTACTGAATTCATTCAGTTGCAGCATCAATGTGTTGTTGATTTATACAATATCAGGACAGTATTTATACACTTGTTAACTGAGCTTTATGATTTACCTACTGCTGCAGATGACTTTGTGTGCATGACAAATATTGACCCTGGAAGAATGGTAAATAAACTAAAATGTTTGTCAAATTCTACACTAATATAACAAAACATTCAAAAATTGAAATGCAAGAGGTTTAAGGGTAGTTTAACTTTAATGTATTATTAATGGATTTTCTCATTTAATGTCCTCTTTCCTGCTGCATAAAGTTACCTGAAGGTGATGATGGAGCCTACAGTGTGATCACTTCAATACCTGACGCCAGCTGTGCTACCGGTGAGCTGTTTTTATTTATTCATTTATTTTTATTTTCCTTTTTGTTTTACACCTACTTAAACACTGTAGTGCAGGGTGGAAGACAAATTTCAATATTGTAATTATATTATTATACCACAGCTGTGGTAACATCTTTTATGTGGAGGCAGGGGGTTTTGAAAGGATGACATGTGTGAAAACTGGGGGTACCTCAACAGCAATATGAAAATAGATATTTATTAGGGGTGCAACGATACACAAAATTCACGGTTCGGTTTGGTTCGATACTTTGGTGTCACGGTTCGATATTTTTTCGATACAAAAATTTTTTTTCATGCCTTTTTAATTTGTCATTTATTAAAATTATAAATATATATTTTAACTCAAAAGTACAGTTTTTAAATTTAATGTTGCTGAAACAACAAAGGTATAAAATAATAAATCTATCTGATGGAGAAGTCACTCATCTTTGGAAAAGAGAGTTTATTACAGCGAAATGGCTCTTTCCAAAATAAAAGCTATACTATCCGCTTCTTCTGGGCTATATTCTCAGCAGCATATTAAACAAATCAGGTCCCCATAAGGAGAATCATGTGCTAACGGCTGTCTAAATGACTCGGGTAAAGTTTGTAGCATGCATGCTTGTTGTTTTTGTCTGCTTCCACTTGTCTTTGAACTAGGATGATGTCGGAGTAAATGTGCAGTCATATTCGTTGTGTTCCCACTAGTGCTGTCAGCGTTAATCTCGTTGAAATGACGTTAACGCCACAACACGGCAAATCTCCGTTAACGAGCTACCGCGGATCACCCCGTGCATGGGGCTGGAAGGCCAACACGTTAACGAGCTAACTGCGCTAACACACTAGTTCCCACCAGGGCTGGACTGGCCATCGGGCATACCGGGCATTTGCCCGGTGGGCCACTCGTAATTTTTCATTTTTATGGGCCGATGGGGTTTTATTTCTTTCTTTTTTTTAACGATATAAATGAATGGTGGTGGATTGGCCAGTTGGTCATGATCGACTCTGGGCTTGACCAGTTACAGCAGAGGAGGTCGAAATTTAAAGTTGAGGTGAAAAGGAACACGATTTCATCACTACTTCAGCTAGAAAATTGCTAATTCAGTCATGAAACTGATCAATGATCAGCTGATCGGCTTTTCTCTCCAGAAAGAGGGAACCAGCAGATGTCGCGCTAAACAACAGCAGCACGTTTAAGCTTGATCAGCTGTCGGTAGAATTTATTTAATGTTAATTTCAAGTATCAGCTGATGTTCGTTGGAGCCACAGCTGTAAAGCTGCTGGTCATGATATCGGTTTGGATATGTGGTAAGGGGGAAACATGAAGCTGAAACCAGGAGATGTCCTTACTGAATCATCAGAGCTGAACAGGTGATGGAGAAACAGGTTTACATTTTAGGTGACATGGATGAGTTGAAGGGAAGAAACGAACTGTTTCTGAGAGACAAATAACACCAGAATCCATACTTTTCTTTCTTATTCTCATTT